TTCCAAATCTATTTCGTCCCCTTCAAAGTAATCCTTAAATTCAAATAATATTCCCCGTCGACAGCTTTCGTCCGGCGGAAAGAATTCATAGTGCCCACCACCACGACAATCAAAGAAAACTGTTAATAACTTTGATCTTTGAGCGAATTGGACATGGTTTTTGCAGTCTCTTTTTCCTCCCTCCACCACTCGTCCACATTCTCCGAGGTCCCACATATTGCACGATATTCGCTCGATTGACCGGTTACTTTCTTGTCGCATGCGTAGATTCAAGTATCATGTCCAATAATAATACCTTTCATGACTGATGAATAGTCAAAAGTCATTTCCTCACATACATTGTGAAAATGTAAACAAATACTCTTCGTGTCATACAAAAGTCAGCGCAACTGAAACGATGACGTTTATGGCTGTCACATTGCCATCAATTTAGAAAAAAAAAACTTTCCGATATTCGATGTACTTGCGCAATTTAACTTGAAATATTTTTTGGTCGCAGTATTATTATTGCTCATTAGTGAGATAGAGTTCACTGAAACAGCTAGCTTCGCAGGCAAAGGGAGAAAACGTATATTTGGCATATAAATGAGAAGCTTCTTGTAAAAAACATTTTGTATTTGCTGACCGTTTCGTAAGCGATAGGATGTTGTGCGGCTATCTGTGCGAATTTGAAGACATTCATCATGTCAGGAGCAAAAGCGCAATTTGAAGCAGTCGATGGAAGCCAATGTTTATTGAAAAAGATTACAGATTCTGTCGAGTAAATTCTGCAGCGCTGAAGATTTTATTTCCAAAATTTCCTTGCAAAAGTATCTGAGAGGAAGACTGGATTTTTTTTAGAATTATTTTTCCATAGGACATAAGCTGAAATTCCTTTTCCATAGGACCTTAGCATCTGATCATGAATGTGGTTTAATAACTCGGAAATTGTAAAGAATAATACGAATTCCTAAAAAGTTAATGCCTCTTAACAGATTTCGGCCTCATTAAATTCGCCATTATATCTGAGCATGACATTAGGAATCATTATCACGAACTTAATTACGAAAGATCACATATTTGCACGTTTGCGGCGCACGAACTTTCGTAAAATACTATTTTTTTAATACATTTCCCGGACCGTATCTTTTCTATCTTAAACAAAACTTAAACGTCCTCTCCCTAAAAGAAAAAAATCTTCCCTATCATCCAATGTCTAGTTAAGAATCTAAGATTAGTGGAATGGCGTACTTTTTCTCAGAAGAAATATCCAGATGATGAAACAGACGGATAGACTTATGGACCCATTTGCCGGTTGGTTATATATACATTGTAACATCTTCAAAGCTTTCTTCTAGATGTTGCAAACGTTTGGACCAACTGAGTATACCGTCAACGTGACATCCTATGACCATGTACTTTTAAAATAAAAATGCATTATCTAAAGGTTGGGGATATCTATTATACATGTGTAAGTTCAATCGTAGAATCAATATCACCTTATCTTTTAAATTTTCTTACTGTTATTTATTAAAAAGCCGTACACGGAATTTGTTTCATTCTTACATAGCTTTAACCCAAAGAATATGCAATAAATTAATATTTGATTTTAATTTTCGAATACTTAACAAGGGAAATAAGCCAGCCATCCCGTCAAGGCACAAATTGGTATTGCAAACTATATTAAGCTTTTTACTGACAACGAGCTGAGCTCGTCAAACAACTTTAATATGCTTCTGCTCTATTCATAAACAAACTCTTTTAACAAAAAACATGAAACTTATAAAATTTATTTCCCCACTGGAAGAAAATTAACAGCAGTGTACGTAATGCGAAAAAGGTCTTTCAACGTGACAGAAAATGTGGAAGAAAGCATATGAGCGTAAAATAAGCTTTAAAAAACAAAATGGATCACTCTTCAACAGAAACAGTTAATGGGCTTTCATACTTATGAAGAAAGTCCCGCTGGCAATGCTTACAATTCGTTATAAAGATTTATTGTATATGTACATGAAACGAATACAACATACAATACGTGATGGAAAAACAACTGAATATTTTCAAAATAGTAAACAATTGTTTATACATACGTACGTGTACGTACGTAAGCATTGTTAAGATGGCCCACTTTACCAAAGAGAGCTCTGCTTTTATTTCATTCTCCCATTTATTTCACATACACATAGATGTTTATTAGTGAGCTTAGGACAGGCAAACCTTATGCATACATTCTTATAAGAGAGCTTATACTCTTCAATGTTGCTAAAGCAAATTTTTGTTAAAACTTTTGCGTGCTTAGAAATTCTTATGAATTTGTATTTATTTGTAGGTGTGAGTGTTTATATATATATTATATATTTTGTATTTTATAAATGGTAGAAAATGATAAGTTTACCTTGCATCAGCTTTTGGCGGGGAGCCAATAGTCTCTTATTACATTTTATTCGCTGCTGAAGTCCTCATACAAAATTCACAATGCCTTTCATGAGCATATTTGAATGTGAATTTTTTTTTTGGTTACACTGTTAACACCCGTAATAAAAATTTGCAGCGAACAAAATGCTTTGGCTATCAATTTAATGGACTTTTAAGTTTTTTGCTTTCATTTCTTATAAATAAAAATAAAAGCTCCGTTTTTGAATAGAATCAGTTCTTGATCAGAATCTATATAATGTCCAGTTGTTGTTGTTGCAACGGCATTGAAAATTGAGATAAAATAATAAAATATCTATCTAACTTGTCGATGGGTGTGAATGATGACTACGAGTAAACGACTCTTCCAAATAGGACATTATATGGGAAATGGGCGAAACCTCACGTTATTGCATCAAATTTCATTGAAATATCTCAAAAATTGTCGCATAGGTTGAACCCAAGAAAACCAGACAGATATAGGAGCAGACGAACTTAAATCGGCATTGGCATAATAAATGGTGAATCTGTCTATCTATCTCTTAATCTTTTTATCTATCCCTTAATCCTAAGAAAGAAATTTATTTTTGGCAGAGGCCTACTCTTATGTACCCACTACCATTCATTTCAGCGGGCGTGTTCTTTGACCGATTAGACCCATTTTCAACGCTGAGCTGCGTAGAAGAATTTGCAATGTTTTTATTGATTTTCTAGATAATATCGACAACAAGGGTAGTGTGAACAATGCATGTCGCACAGCGGAACAAACCTGCTGAAATCAATTAACAATTCCTTACTGATCAGCAATGCATATATATATATATACTTTATAAGGTCTAGAGAAGCTTCCTTTTAGGTGTTGCAACCCTAAAGAAACTCTTGATATAGAAATAAACTTCCAAGTCATATTGAAATCATAAACGAATGCGTCAACGGTATAGAAAGTCTTCAGTCTACCATGATAGCCGCAACTTACCATAAATAATTGAAAACATTTTTTTTTATTTATAATCGATTCAGAATATCTTTGATAATTTGATGCTTTTATTCTATCCGAGGCCTTTTAAATATCTTCCAATTTTTGCAATGATCTTATATTTTTTTATAGCTTTTTTGAGAATTTCAAATAAGCAGAAGCAGCTGAGGGCATATTTAAAAAAGAAGTTGCCAGCTGAGGAGTTTTAATACATCGACTTGGGACACATGAGTAAACGTTGTACGAATTTGAAAAACAGTTAATATTATGCCATCGCCTTATAATGCCAGCTATCTTTGATAAGTTCATGTTTCCATTATCGAGAATAATTTTGCACGATCCACCTTACTACAACCAACTCTACGTCTTACATCTTTAGTATCCGCAAGACATGGATTAAAATCAGCAAATCACAGGGAAGTTTTTTTTTTGTTTCGATGATGAAGGCTTGCCAGAACACTTCTCGTTACATTGCACAGTTTGAAGGGTATAGTTATACGTCAAACGACAACTTCGATTGTTTCTTGTCGCATGGCCGATAGAAAAGAAGAGCATGAGGTCCCTTATATTACCGATCTAATGAAAATTATTTTCTGAATCGACTTAGGCACGTCGACGTCTGGCCATGTATATTTGTAAAAGGCAGAAGAACGAGCAACCTGGGGCCAATTTTCAGGTTAGTTTTATTAAAGTTTTTTGGCTTACTTACTCCTCAGCAGTAGCACCTACTAAATCTCCGTCCGGGTGTAAAAAAGAAGCATCTTATAAGTATTCTTACTTTTCATTTCTCTTTTTTTTTGAAACGAACCTTCTGCTGTCGGCTGACGCGCTTCAACGCTTAGGTGGCAAGCATATTCAATTTACTCGGTTTTCATTACAATTCGTAAAGGACTCTTCCTCTTTTTTGTGTTCGATCAGTCGCCCTACTAAACGTCCGTCCTTGAAAAGGTAATTATAAGTAATAAAAAAATTGCAATTTTTAAAGTTTTTCGACAAAAATCGCTGCATAATCGTCTACTTTCTATATCTCACACTTTGTAAGTGTTTTGATGAAAATTGGTCCGTAATAATAATTTGACTCAGTGATTAACTATATCACATTTTCACTGTCAGACTTAGGCGGCGGTAGTATATAACTGCATTCCCAAATACTTGGAAATAGTATAGCAGAGAGGAAAAGATTAAAAATATTCTTAATCAGTTTCCATAAAATATTCGCATTAGGATACTTGAAGGAACGCTATTCGGATCAGTGAGACTGGAAAATTTTAGACAACACAGGGCATTAAAAGCTTCAAAATCCAAGAATTTCATATTGGACGAAGTGTTTCAATATGACAGTGGTAGCTATAAACATTCGTGTAATTTTGATCAATGAAAGATTGTTCAAAAAATCTTGCGGACAAGTTAGAAATGTTATTTGGATCAAAGGTGACCATGCTGCATATGTGACAGTAAACTACCTACAAAACTCTTTGGCTTACTTGTTTTCTTACCTACTTCTTGTTCTTGCTTGTTTCTTATGAAAATAAAATTTTCCCCATAAAAATATTGTGCTAAAAATATGAAAAATATGTAAAAAAAAACTAAATATATGTAAAAAAATAATAAATATATGTATTGAACAGTTTGAGTGGAATATTTTTACAGTTTATATTTTTCATTTTTTTATTGCATTGTTCGCACTAGATATTAATTCCTGCCGTTTGTATAAGTGTTGGCTCGATGATGAAATACTTCTTAGAGTACTAGTGCTCTTGCTAGTGAGGTTAGCAATACTTGCACCGCTTTGTGACCGTTTAGTAGTAGTTGTAGTAGTAGTTGTAACGGTGCCTTTTGACTTTGCTAACAAGCTTCCAGACATTCTTTCAAAATCGGCAGTTTTCGAGCGTAGTATAGCATCTCCTATATTTGTTATACTGGCTGGAAGTTTTGGTTCGTTGTTATGCCTACGAATATTTTGATCTCTATTTAATATGATTGTGGCGCTTGTAATGCTGCTTTTTGCCACTTCGTTCATCGGCGTCGATGATTGTTGCCTTCGCGTATGGAGTTTAACGTCTTTACGCTGTGGCGGAATTGGTTTCTGATCGCTTATGGAAGATACTGTGCTCTTGTCTTTCCTTGTTGTAAATGACAATGAGCCCGAAATTGGAAGATCTGAGAAATTGTTAAAATTCGCGCACACTGAATTATTTATATTATATATTGAATAATAATAAATTTGCAACGAACGTTATGCGATGGCTGGCTTAAGCCCTATTGCGTTTTTTTTTATTATGAAACTTACATTCGCTTTCACCTTCCTCCCTCGGGATGTTTGTAATTTTTTCCATTAAAATCTTTTTAGAATTAGCGTTCGACGTTTCAGCAATTCCGTCCGACACACTATGACAAAATACTTCATCGTAATTGATATGCATAGGAATTTGTAAGCTGGCCGACACGATTCCCGATTGCTGGTGCAGAACGTTCGGTGATGATTTGCGACGATCAAAGCCTGTGACTTGTGCTTGTTGAAATGATTCAGAACCGTAAAAATCATTCGTATAGGTTTCCAAATACTCTCTGTTAAAACTCAAGAATGAATAAACGATTTAATTAAAATATTTAATAAATACCGGATTTTTGATGAATCAGTGCTAGGTATCACAGTCTGCTTACAAAGTCGATTTTTAGCCGCATCGGCTAATTCCTGGGTTCGGTCGGGAGTATTTGATAAACTTAAGCTAAGCGGTTGTTGTTCTTCTCCCCTTTAAATAGCGATGGTTATTATTCATACAGTTTTTAAATATTGAAATAAAATTTTTCACTTACTGCAATATGTGGCTGCGAAATTCACATATTCGATATAATTGATCCGGGCATTCATCTAACATTTGTGAGTATACAGCATCCATTAGTTCCGCAGGTACTTTGAAAATTTCCTCATAGTGGTCGATCATTATTCTATAAAAATGAAACAATTTAGTGAAACGAGTAAATAAAAAGAAGAAGTTATGGCCAGATACGGATGTTGAAACCTCACACTCTCTCATCTTATATAATACTTTGCTAATAAGCGTTGTAAAATGCCAAAAATCATCCCTCGTTATCGTGTAAATATTTAATTTTGATAGACGACCAACAACCTGAGCCGACATGGTTCAAAATTTTATATCCCACATCACTTTTGTTACAAGGGTACATGTGTGGGGATGTATGCAACATCTAGAATATGCATTATACCGAACCGTTCAGAAAATACCTCTAAGCTTGTGGGACCCTCTTGTACAAGGTTACATGTATGGGGATGTATGCAACATCTAGAAGGACTCACCCCTTATTATACCGATCGATTCAGAGAATAACCTTAAGCTTGTGGGACCCTCTTGTACAAGGTTACATGTATGGGGATGTATGCAACATCTAGAAGGACTCGCCCCTTATTATACCGGTCAATTCAGAAAATAATTCTAAGCTTGTCTGTGTCGCTTGTGTTCAACCTACACTAACGCGCTTTGGCGCAAGAACGAGCGGTATCGAAAATGGTTCGGATCACAAGAGTAAAGTTAACGAAAAAGTTTTATCATAAATAAATATCTGCCTTTTCTCTATGACGTAGCAATGCACTTACCTTACAACATTGATCGCATCGCTCATGTACTCTTGTTCGCCGCTGGAAGTATTGTTTCCCAGAGCGGGATTCGTTGTGCGTAATATGTTGGGTGCAAAGACTGTTGCTAGATTGTTACTATCCATCTTATTGCCATTAGCCTGCTGACTGTTATCGCTTGGTGGGATATCATCGCTGCAAGCGGCTACCTTGGCTAAAAACCTTAGTAATACGTACAAAGTATCTCTGTGAGCAGGGGGCAAAAGCTTAACTAAATGCGAAATGGCTTCCATTTGTAAACGCCTATTACGAATTTCTATTAATTGTAAGAAAGCCTGTATTACTTAGTACTCAAATGAATGCAAATCCAGTCATCATTTACAAAATATCTGCCTTCCCAAATGTAGCATATTTTTTAGCGTATCTTATAATGCATGTGGTAACATACATATTCTACAGTATACATTACAGCATATCTTAGAATATATATTGTAGCATATTTTGCAGCATATGTTAGAATATATATTGTAGCATATCTTGTAGCATATATTAGAATATATATTGTAGCATGTTTTGCTATTGATCATAATTCCTATATATATATGTGCTCACTTTGAGTTCCTAACAATGCTGTATATAATTTATTTGATAGTAATGGCTCTGGTAGATCCCTGAGAAATTCCTTGAGTAAAGTGGCCACATCATGGGGACTGGTATTGTCATCAAATCTTTTCTTCCCAGTTTTTTCAAACTCGTCACGCATCTGGAAGGAATTTGACGAAACAGTTATTAGATACAGATGAACTAGAAAATTCATTTGCGCTTACTTGCTTTACTCGTTTTTTGGATGCGCTTACACGAAATAATCCGACTGAATGGAGTCCATTCCTCTCTAAATAATTAAGGCATGAGATCATAAATTTCGGTACTTTTAATTCTGGTTTTGCAAGACCGAATTGATCGTCATAGTCCTTGACATGATTCTCGCTGTATTCCGCCGTATTCTTCTCCAATTCCTGGCTTTTACGACGCATATCTGTTTGACTGCGAGATTTTTGCATCGATGCAGATTTACCAAGATTACCAAAGTAATTGCTTACTGAACTCGTTTTCGAACGAGTCTTGCCTCCACTCTCTACCTGTGCATTGGAAGATAAGCTTTCGCAGGATTGCACCTAAATTTGTAATGATTTACTTTCGAAAGCAGGTTGCATTAAATGTTTTTTTGTTTTATTTACGTTATCATGGAATTTGAGTGGATCCGTAACTACTCCCCCTCGAAATAAAGAGGCAATCGAATTACGTGAACCCTTCTCTAAACAAACATCACGTATTTTATCATTGGCCACACACGATTCGAGACTATTGCCAAATATTGTCATATTGGAACCTGATCCAAAGTAGAAAATATAATTAAATAAATTTCAAATTGTAGGGGTATTAAGTATCTTCACGTAGTTTCCAAAGATTGTCATTTGGGTGGAGTTACAAAATTCGGAAACAATGTAGCGACACTTTTATAATTAAAAAATTTAATTTTTCACTTACTGTAATCCTTTTTACCTATATCAAATAAATTAGTGGTCATAGCTTTCTTTTTTGCCAAAATTCGACGTTTATGCGATTTGTTATCCGTGTCTAAAAAGAGAGAATAAGATAGAATTTTATATCCGGCTTTAGCCGATAAGTAGACAGACAGAATATTTGTATTAATATTTTGATGAGTTTTCCGATGACCATTTTTCAATAATTAACAAACGCAATGTCAAATTGCCCATCCTGCTGGTGGGTATAACAAGTGCAGTGAAAAACTGAAAACATATTGTTCCAATATGCATGTATATGCTTACAGCCGCTTTCGCTGATATTAATATTGAATTCACCGATTTTTTCCATTACTACCCGTTGCAATAACTTAGCTTCGGTATCGGTTAACGTGTATAGTGGTGAATCCATCAAATACAATTTGTCACCATTTTCGGATATCCATGTGAATTCACCCTAAAAGAATTAAAAGATTTTTAAAAAATATATTAAATAAATTATTGAATAAAAAGAAGTAAAAACATTATAGCGGACCACAGCCCACAATATATTCCCTACGGCATTCTGCTGTTATTCATATAACGACTTTTTATAACAAAGCGTTATAAGGAAAGTGGGTGGTCAAGAAAGCAGTCCGGTCCAAAACATTTTTAATGGGATTTACCCTTGGCCCGAAATATGCCTGTACACCAAATTTCATCAAAATATTTCAAAAAAAAAGCGGCCTTTAAGTTGAACAAAAGGCGGACAAGCGGACTGATTAACTTGGGCCGATTCGGAAAGTGATTCTGCACTGTTCGGTATAGTGAAGGAGGGATCTACTCGAAGCCCTTTTAGTTGTCGTATTCATCCGCACATCCACCCTTGTGTCGCATGTTTTTGTAGGGTATGAAAATATTAATCTCTGCAAATGTTTGTTAAGCAAATAACAACAACTATATTTACTGTCCCGATAATGCTAAATCTACGATTTATTTCAAAAATTCCATTCGACGACATTATCAAACGTATCTATGTCATAACGCCATGCTTATTCGTTCACAACCGACCTGCTTGTCTTTCTATTCTTTATTGTTATTTTTACTGTTATTGTTACTGTTTATATACTCTTTAAGGGGTATTTACGTACATAAGGATAATTTGTTAAAAATTTTATACAATGACTAACAATCCAATCCCTAGGATTGAGCATGAAAAATCTTTTCTTTTTTGTTTTTGTAAAATTTGGCGGACATATTAATGATTTGTTATACCACATCATCAAAAGTAATGTCCGGTGTGCTATCGGCTTTAAATTAATTATATTAACGCTTCTGGCACTTAAAAGTAATACTTTTCCTTCATTTTCCCTTATCGCACACAACCATAGACCGTGATGTTCGATTTTTATGTTTTCTAGACAGAGGCTCGGCATAAAAGTTCTTTGTATTGCGGAAGAATATACTTACAGCAGGTGTCCATTTGAAAGCCGGGCCAGGTGTTACATAACTTGACAGTATCGAGCTAATTGGCCTTGTTTGACTTTTCGAGCGATTCTTTTGTATTCTACGAGAGACAAATTGTCCAACATTTGAAGACGATTTTGACTTCTGCATGTTTGCTGAAAGAAAAATAAAAGATGAGTAAACAGAGCATAGGCTTGGATAAGTTGAATGCAAAAAATAAAAAGAGGCTCCGTCGTAAACGTGCACCACTAACACATCCCTTAGGACAATGCATCGTAATTTAGCGATAATAAATCTGCGTCGCTGATGTCTAGATGTCCTTCTTTATGGCATAATTTTTTTTTGCGAAATTTTTGCAGTTAGGGCTTTACATATATATATGGAAGGTGAGATGAATGCTTTCGTATGAGGTTTTTGAGAATCTCTTCACGGCTAGCCAATATTCAATTTCCTAATATTTCTTTATGATGCCTTTCACCCCGGATCCCCGGCACATGTAAGTAATTTGGGATAAGCATTTTTCTTCTTTTTCTTTTTCTGTTATCTAAACACTTTTGCAGGTCTTCATTAATTTTGAGGTCGCAAGGAAAAAGCATATTCTCTATAGAGAAACATTTTTTTAATTAAAGCTATTTGGAATATCTACGCTATGTGCTGGATGTTGAGAAATTCGCCTATTTGAACAGTAAATCCCTGTTATTTATGCGGGCACAGATTAATAAGAAAGTAAAATGATTTTTATTATATAGGCTTCAGGACATATGATTGGAATAAAAACATGCAAGGATAATTAAGGGCCTTTAGTGCTCATTCGATATTTATTAGCTCAAGTGTTTAATGCGAACACGTTAATGTATAACTTTTGCTGAAAAGTAAACTTACTAGAAAGGTATCCCATTGATGCCGATGCCGTATTCTTATTGGCGCAGGCACCCCCTAATCCCGCTGTTAATCCTATTCCTGAGGGCGTATGTGATGAAAATGCTGTCGTAGAGTGCCAAAGATTTGATAAAAATTGCGAACTTGTATGCAATATATTTCCAGAGTGAGTTTTATCAGCAACGGTCAAGGCCAGCGGAACGTTCGTTCCACTGCTACTAATCGCTGAATAAACGTCACTAGTTGAGCATGACGATGATGACGTTTGCGAAGTTATAGTTGGGGATAAGGGTGGTGATGTCGGTGAGGTGGGTACCGACGATGAACTGCGACTAGATAGAGAGGAACCATAAGCTGAATTTGCCGTTAGCAAAATATTTTGTTCGTATTGCAGTTTGCGTTGTAGACGTTCATTGAGTAATTCCTGCCATTCGCGATGAGCAGCTTCTAAGGTTTCAGAGCTTTCATGTCCATGTATGCCGTCCAACATAATTACGGCCCAAGCATCTAATGTTTGAATTGCTTTATTATTAGCCTCGTCCATACCCGGTGGGTTGATTTCCCCCTTGGCTTGAATATTGCGCAAGTTGCGATCATAATTAATGCATTTGAATTGATTCGCTGGACTCTCTTGAACACTTTTCTTGCGAGCCATGCGCAAGTAACGTTTAATGGTATCACTTACCGATTGAGAAATATCCTCGTTATCTAAAGAACTTTTTCGGACACGTGGTTGATTGCACTTATTTTCCACACTACCTTTGAGCAGAGCCTGTTCTCTTTTCTTATCTTTGTATTCGGCACCTAATCGCTTGATTTCACTTAAAGCTATGAATGTTGTTTGCGTACTGCACGAAATAGTTGGCGTCGATTTTTTCTTCAATGCTCTTGAATTTTTAATTAATTGCGTTGAGTTTTCTGACGATGGACGGAAACTCAAAGATGGAGTTGCGTTGTCGTTTGACGTAGTATATTGTCTTGATGCTGTTAATGTTGCTGGCGCTGCCCCAGTGCTATAGTCAACGCTGGCTTTAGGTACACCTTCTTTTTCTTTGCGATTCGAATATGAACGCTGGGAGTTACCAAAATGCAGCAGTGATGATAAAGAAGACGAATGTTTAAGGTTTGTTTGATTTTTGGATGGAATCGAGGGAACGTTAAGAATTCGATGCAATTGCTGCTTCTTTAAAGCGCTGTAAATCTTCTTCATGGCCAATTTATCATTAAGAATATCGGCCGTAATTGCTTCAGGCCGTATGCTTATTGTTCTTTGCCACGCCGAACTCTGCGCCAATAAGCGTAATCGCTCTAGTAGTTGGTCGATGTGATTTGAATGTTGCGATCGATCTGGAGGTTTTAAAAGAGCTGATGTCCGATTAAATACATTATTTCCGGAAATGTATGATGATTTATTGGATGCGGGTCTTTGAGCACTAGGCGAACATGTCTGATCGGGTCGAACGGTTTTGGTTCCTAATAGTGTTGTCGTTTTAATCGACTCATCTAAGCCAAGATGAGAATGTAATAAATCTATAACGACATCGGCATTGTTTGCTTCTTCCCGCTCTCTGAGGTTTGGACACTTTTGCCCAGTGTGCTGCAATAACTGTTTAAGACGTCGTTTGGAACTCCGCAAAGCACCTGGATAGGACGATTTACGTCTCCACAATACAAACCGTGGCTCCGCACTACAAACTTGCTGAAAATGGGCTTCGATTTTTGGGATATCTTCTTTGCGATTTTCTGCCCCATCTGGTATAAGCTTCCGTCCCGCATCAGTCATATATTTCCATGTTTTCCTCGTAAAAAGCCATCGTTCACGCTTCTTCTCTTTAATTGACGTACGCTTATTGGATCGGTGCGTGTACGCAGATGTAATTCTTGGCGAAAAATGCATCCTTTGCAAAGGTTCTTTTATTGTGCTCTTAACCGTATCCGTTGCGTCTGTCATTGTGTGAGTTGAAGCGTTCCGCGTATTAATGGCCAAATTACTCACATCTATTTGCTGTATGGCTTCATCTAAAGGTCCAGAACGTTTCTTCACAATTTGCACCGGCCGTCGCAAAGCAGCTTGCTGCGGTGCAGCCTTCTTTATAGGAGCCGAATCAGTTTCCATCGCTTCTCAATTCTTTTTTTAATTTCGTGTTGTTTTTGCGCACAATGTCGCATCCGAAGTGGATTTAAAAATTTTACTATAAAATTTGATTAGTAAGTAGTTTTCTGGAGAACACAACATAGTTTTAGGAACATATTAAATTATGGGATTTCATACAATTGCTATTGATACCATCGACATAGATAGATGAGGTCGAACAATTGCAATGGATGGATTATTTCGAGATGATGATAAAATGAACATTATCAGTAGTTGATTAGTGGAGGACATTGAAGGTAGAATCTGATATTATTACCAGTAATGTTTCGGTACAACTAAAAAAATCTTGGAAAATAATCAAAATTTTTCTATCAAATTTTAAAGTTATATTGAGGAGTTTTACTGTTATCCCAAACTAGACGTAAACGGAACGTATGCGATATAAGAAATAGTTCTGTCTTGAGTGTGATTCAGAACAAATTAAGATGAGTTTTCTAACTGAAATGTTGCTCCTTAGTTTTTACTTTTAGTAGAATGGATGCGTTTTACCTTAGTTGGGGCGAACATTTTCAAGATTGACGAAGAAATTGTGCCGTATGGGAGAGGGTAAAAATTACCTTGGGAAGTTGTCGTCTTTTTTACGACCAATTAAGTTGCAATTGATATCAAAGCAGGAAAATATCTCGAAATCTCTAACATACTTGAAAAATATATATATTCTCGAGATTAGTTTTTTGTTTCGTAAACTTTGCTTTGGGTAAAAGAACTGAGACAAGTCTCAATTTTGTTTTGATTCAGACAATACCATATTTATTCTCGTATAAAGTTCCCTACAAAATTAATATAAACTCTTGCCTACTACTTTTTCGGTTACTGAAAAGCTAGGCTGCAAAAATCGCAAGATCTATGTATTTCTTTGTAGGTGAGAGTGGGTGTGAATGAAAAAGCATCGTTAAGCGTTTCCCGATAATATGCTGATGACAAGCATTAGCTTCCTTCGCATTTTAAGCTTCTCATCGAGTACTTCTATAAGGACATGCATCCCCTTTTCATTTATTTTCCCTTCAAGTTATTTGGAAACATATGTCAAACATATCAAAGTGGGTCATTTCATAATACAGAGGCTTCAGTAACACATTTGCAGATTATAGGAAATATTTATGAAAATTTTCGTTCACCGTCCTTGTATATGCGGCAATATCAATTTACAGTTATTGCCATTATTCTGGCAATTGAACAAGTGGATGCCTTGTGAGATTTCTAAATTCAAGTAAGAGATGACAGCACTGTAAACAATACCGCTGCTAAATGGGAAAATATGGAAGAGGAATCGAACAGTTCACCAGCAGCTTGTCTGTGCATCATTCGCTTCCGTTTTTGAGACACAAGGCATCTCCAGTCTAAATAGATTTAAGAGTACAGCCGGGCAAATTGGTAGGAAATAAAAACAAGGCTGCGACCTGACTGGATG